GACGAACCAGTCGACGAAGTGCCGGAGGCCGGCCTCGAGGGAGGTGGTGGGGCGGTAGCCGAAGTCGTGCGCGGCGTGGCTGACGTTGGCGTGGGTGAAGGGCACGTCGCCGTTGCTGGGCATGGTGACGATGCGCTTGTTGGCCTTCTTGCCGAGCAGCTTCTCGAGGATGGCGACCATCCGGGTGACGGGCACGGGGGAGGTGTTGCCGAGGTTGTAGACGCGGAGAGGCGCGGGACCTCTCTTCTTGCCGGACCTGGAGCCGGTGCTCTTGCCCGCGGTGTCGAGCGCGCCGAGGCAGCCCTTGACGACGTCGTCAATGTAGGTGAAGTCGCGGCGCGCGTCGGAGCCGTCGGCGGCGCGGAACAGCGTGATGGGCTCGCCGGCGACGATGTTGCGGGCAAAGAAGAAGTAGGCCATGTCGGGGCGACCCCAGGGACCGTAGACGGTGAAGAAGCGGAGGCCGGTGATGGAGAGCCCGTAGATGTGGTTGTAGGTGTGCGCGATGGCCTCGCCGGCCTTCTTGGTCGCCGCGTACAGCGACGCCGGGCGGTCGGTGCGGTGGTCCTCGGAGAAGGGCGCGTCGGTGTTGAGCCCGTACACCGAGGAGGAGGAGGCCCAGACGATGGCCGGCTGCGGGTCGGCGTGCTTGGCCGCCACCTCGAAGACGCTGACGAGCCCGGCCACGTTGGACGCGACGTACGTCTGCGGCGCCTCCATCGCGTACCGCACCCCGGCCTGCGCGGCCAGGTGCAGCACGTGCGTGAACGCCGCGACGTCGAAGAGCTTCTCCAGCAGCAGGCCGTCGTTGATGTCGGCGTCGAGCACGACGACGCCCCGGCTGGCCAGCAGCGCCTGCCGCGCGCGCTTCAGCGACGGGTCGTAGTAGGAGTTGAAGTTGTCGAGGCCGAGCACGCCGTCGCCGCGGGCCTTGAGCGCGAGCGAGCAGTGCGTGCCCACGAAGCCCGCGGCTCCGGTGACCAGCACGGAGATGCCTCCGTCCCGGCTCGGCCTGGCGCTCCGCCGTACCTCCTTCTCCCACACGGCGCCCCCGTACGACGCCGAGGACATGAGCAGGCTGCGGTGAGAGGCGGAGGAGGAGTGCGCGCCGCCTGCTGAGCCGTCGCTGCCGCCGGCGGAGAGGTGGAAGGACCGCGAGAGGAGGGACGGGTAGTGCAGCGTGAAGAGGAAGACGAGCGCGAGCGTGGCCAGCACGGTGGCGCGGAAGAGCAGGTGCGACGACGCGGACACGAGCTTGGCGCTGGTCGCCCGGCGCAGCAGCAGCGCGCCCCCGCTGGCGTACCGCTCCAGCTTCATCCCCTTGGCGGCCGCGTCCACCGCGGTGATCCCCGACGACGGCATTGTGGCTGTGCTCTGCTCTTCGTCCTCCTCGCGTTCCGGGCCTCGAGGGATAGTTGGATAGATAGCTACACGGACAGACAGCTAGGCTGGCTCGAAGCAAGCAGGCTTGCTGAGGAGGGAGTGAGAGAGCAAGCGTGGGGATATAAAGGGGGAGAGTGAAACGGAGGGGAGCATAGAAGAAGGATAAGGGGGGAGGTGGGCCCACACGGCTGGTGGTTTGGTTTCGGTTGGAGGCCACTCGGGGTGGCTCGAGTCGGGTGCGTGCTTGTGATTTTGGGATCCTCACCTCCCTGCCTAACTTGGTTGCTCGGTGCGTGCTGTGATCTGGTAAACGAAGAGGAGCTGAAAGCGGTAGTGTTTTTGGTAGGATCGCATCGGATCGGAGCAAGGGTGGCTCCCCTTCCCCCGAACCACAGTGGTCTCCAGTCTCCGGCTCGATCTCTCTGGCCAATCGCCAATCGGCCATGGCAGGCCAGGCCACACTGTGGCAGTGAAACGTGCGAGCGGACCTTCTGCTGTGGACGAGTCAATGGCTGACCGACGGATTCGCCAGAGACTTTACTACTAGTACTACTACTTTAGCATTGAGCGCCGCACTGCGCAAATCTGTGTGAATTAGTGTTTGCTATTAATTGGACAGTGGGATGGACAGGTAGACATAGACCTCCCATAGTAAGAACACGGCCTCATTTGGACCATAGAATGTTCACAACAACGTGCATTGGCATACGCCATTTAATTTGCACTCGAATGCATGTGTTTTGCTAAAACAGGTGGCAAGTACATTGGTACACGTCGGCGACATTAATTATCATCTCGTACATTTATGGTTTTTTTAACAAGGAAGAGAAATAGGTGAGAGAAAATACCATTGCTCCGTGGATTTTAGAACTATGAAACAATTATTTCATCACTGTAGAGTTGTTGCTATATAATATAATTCACAACACCCGTTTATTATATGCTTGATATAGAGCTGCTACGAAACAAGTTAAAAGAAATATTGTACAAATTGTCTGTTAAGCTATCTTGAGATCACATTGCACTATATGAAATCGCAGAGAGCCAGAGACTGGTGATACATTTGCCCTAAATCCTAATGTCCAACCGGGCTTGGAAGATCGTTGTCATAAAGCATGTGACGTGCTCTCGGTGGCCGGCACATTAAGGCCTATGGGCGCGCGCATGGGGCCAGCCGCCAGGGCGCATTGATGCTTCTTTTTTTTCTACGGCCGGTGAATCGTAATAGTCTGGTTTGGAAATGGAGGGAGCGAGCATGTAGACGAAGGAAAAAAAATTGCACGCAGCCAGCCTGTACCGAAGTCCCGTGCAGACCCCCTCGGTGCAGCCAGGCTGCATGTAATTTTTTTCCGTAGACGAAAGCCATAGCACGGTGACGATCTTGCTTGGCTTTGTCCTTTGGCTAGGCCTGGTAAGATTTTGCCTCGCTCGCCCCCGGCCCCTCACCTGTACTCGTTGTTGTGTCCGCGGAGTGACCGGAGAGGACGACGAAAACAGCCGCGGAGGCGGAGGGACGATGACGATGTGTGTGTGATCCGCCCAGCAGCCCCAGCACGGCGGCGGTGCCTGTGCGGCGAGCGAGTGCGCGGCGACCAAAAGGCCACGGAAGTCAGCCGCCGCGCGCTGGGATTCGTCGGCACTTGCGCGCAGTAAACGGCCAGGCCGCTGCTGGTATGCAGCCTGTTCGGTTGGCTGGTTTATGAAGAAGTACTACTGGCTGGTTTATGTGAGAGAAAAATATTATTTCGGCTAGAAATTTACGATCGTTTACGATAAACCAAGGCCAAACGAACAAGCCGTTGGTTTGGTACTTTGGTCCCGCCGCTCCTGGTTGTGCGTGCGTGCCCCGCGCGCCGTATATGGTCTGGCGCGCGGTCCGTTCGCGGTGCGACCGGCGGAGCCTGCCGGTGCATGCTTCGGCCGGCCGGCTCTCTCCCGTTTGACTGAGACGCTGTGCGTATCCCGTATGCGGCGGCCAATCGATCGGGCCGAAACAGAGGACGTACGGTACGGCATCGTGTGTACTACACGTTTCGAAGAAAGCGAAACGCAAAACGTACACGTCCACGAACAAGGGAACCGCTGCGGTTTCTGGCAGCCCGGCACGATCCGATCCCTGGACCATCCCCTGGCCCTGGCCAGAAGCAGAAAGTCAACCAATCCGGGATCACCGATCATGCCTGGCAGCGGGGCGTTTCGGCGCCGCTCGGATGCACCCACGCCTGTTTGGATCGCGGCCTCGCCTGGGGAGCCCCACCCAGGCAGGTCGATCCAGCCCCAGGCGCCGGAAATCGACGGCCTGGAGAAGCTGCCTGGCCCAGGCGTCGTTTTCAGGTAGCGATACAAACAGGCCCAATTCCGCGCGCGGCTGGGTGCAAGCGCGAGCGGCGTAGATGTGATGGCACCGCGCCGCGCGCAGCCACACGCACCAGTGCACCACTGGCACCACGTGAGGGCACGCGCAACTTGGCTAGCTAGCATGCATGGGTTGATCGATGATGGGCATGGCCATGGCGCCAGCGGCTTGCTGCCCACCTCACCGGAATCACGCACGCACGGGCATCGCCATTGCGTTGCAGCATGGAAGAAAGGAGGAGGAGCTGACGTGATGACCTCAACGAACCAACCGTCCAATCGGAAGCTCCGAGTCCGAGGAAGGAACAACAACGGAAGCAATCGCTCCATAAGTCATGGCCGAAAGTACTATTGGCTGATTTATTGTGAGAAAAAAAACTATTAATTGACTGAAAAAATACGACTTATAAACCCAACGAACCAGGCTAATGCTAAGAATCGCGCGCCCGGCAAGAGTAGTACTCCAACGCATCAAAATTGTTGCTTAGGCCATCAGGCGCCTTCATCAGGGAAAAAATATGTTTCGCTCACACAAAAGTCCAAACTCGGTATAACGATGCCCACCATTAAAGGCGGGCCCTACCTGTCAGTAAAGGCCAGCAGCCTGTTCGTTTGGCTGGGCTTGTTCGTTGCTGGATCGTGAAGAAGTATTGCTGTCTGGTTTGGTGTGAAAGAAAAATAATGTTTCGGTTGGAAATTTACGATCGTTTACGAGGGAATAATCCCAATCAAACAGGCTGCAGGTCTCCAGCCGGGCCAACGACGCGTATACATACAATACAAGATTGACACTGCACTGTCGCCGTCCGTCTCACGAGGCTTTTATCAGCGTGTCATTAAAAAAGTTAGTAATTATACATAAATCATTAAAAAAAATTAAGTTCTCGTAGATGTCAGCTCTTTTGTTTTGCAAACCATTTTCATTCTATCCCCCTGTCGTTGAGTTTCCACCGTTTGGCTGTTCTGACGTGTGGGTCCGGCTAAATGCCCTCCCTCCCAATCCAACCTTTGCACGTCCGCACTTCCAGCTGCTCCGGGCCAAGCTCGCCCGCGCCGCTGCGGTGGCTGGGCCAGAGCTCGCCCTCGCCGGTGACAGAGGCGGCGAGGTGGAGGTGCTCTTCTGCCCCAGATCCCGTGCGCCCGCCTTCCGTGAAGCTCACGCGGCGGCGCCGCCGCCCGCGGAGCTCGCCGTCGCCGCTCGCGCGTGGCCACCGCTTGCGGAGCTCTCCGCACTTGCCATGGCCGCCCAGCTCGCCGTGCGCTCAGCGCCGCGTCCCGCGAGCATGCGCCGGCAGCAGCAGCAGGTACTGCTCCTGCTCCTGCGACCGCTGCTGCGGAGGCGCCGTGGCGGCGGGCACGGAGGATGACGACGGAGGTGGAGGACGGTGGAGCCATCGCGTGCCTGGAGAGGACGGGGTGCGTACCTCGCCGATGCGTTCGGCAGGCTCGCCGCTGCGACCTCTCTTCCTCCTCCGCCGCTCACCGGCCTTGGTCGGCCTCGTGCGTTTGGCGACGTACTCCACGAACTTCCTTGACGCGCAGTGGGCGACGTCGAGGAATGCCAGGCAGTGCAGCCCGAACGCCTCCTCTCCGGTGTACACGTTGATGCGGTCGTGCACCACGACGATGCGGCGGTGCGAGGCGGAGATGCCGAGCTCGTGGAACACGACGGAGCTGAGTGTGGCCTCGTCCCAGCCGTGCACGCACGCGCGGGCCTGACGGACCAGCGCCGCGGGCGCCGCGTAGTGCACGGGCAAGCCCCGTGCTGTGAGCTGCAGCGACAGGTGCAGGAGCTGGTTCAGGTGGCCCTGCGCCGGGAAGGGCACGGTCACCACGGCGATTGACTCCATCTGGATCCCTTTCACCACCAACGGCACTACGGCAGAGAGCTGGTGACCAATGCAAAATGAGCACCACGTAACGGGCCAAAGATGGTCGGAGTGCTCCGCTTCCCACGGCTTGTCGGAGAGCCAACTCCGGCTGGTAGCCAACCAGATGGCGCAGAATCCAAATGAAGAAGAAGAAGAAAATGATTTATTTGCATGCTCGCAAAAATGATACTTTACGTATGTGACGTTTATAATTGAGAAATTTGGACATTTCAATGTCATTTGGCCTGCTAAGATATTCAATTAGGACACCCTCCTTCTGGATCTTCAGTTTGGCCCCAAAACACTCACCTTGACAGTGGCGCAGGGGGTAAACGAAATTTCAGTATTCTCTAGGAGGGCATTTAAGTCTTTTTTTTATCTCTGTCAGCCACCATTAGCGCTGTAGGTAAACGGAATAGCTTATAAAGCAAAAGAATTCAAAATAGTGACACACATGAGAGCTCAACATTTTTATTGACTTATAAATAATTATTAATTTTTTACCGACACGCAGGTAAAAGCCTCGACACGGCCTCTGCATGCGCATCCCGATCGTTCCGAGCATGGCTCGGTGTCTGTAGTAGTACGGCCCGCGGGGTGTCGGTGGCCGAGAGCGACGCCCAGCCAAGCCGACGCAGAGGCATGCAGCATGATGCATGCAGGCGTTGCCATTGGCCAGTGGGCAGGGCGGCTCCAGTAACATGACAGCGTGGCGTACAGGGCAACCTGAGCCGCTGACAGCAACGCCCTTCTTTCTAAACTAATTTTAAATCTAACATTATTTTTTTTTTAAATTAACACTTTTTTTAAATTAATTTTAAATCTAACATTATTTTTTTTTAAACTAACACTTTTGCCGCGACTATTTCCATGGCGCGCGAACGCTTGTCGCCGCGCGCATATGCATGGTGGCGTGGCGAGAGGATGACGTGATTGACGACCGTGATGACCGGTGGCGTGGCGGTGGTGGTCTCGCCGCCACCGATCTTGGCGGCGAACGCCTATGCCGCGCCCGGCGCCATGCATGGTGACGCGCGAGGGATGATGACGATGACGGCGGCGGCGGCCCTGATCGATGGCGCGGCGCGAGCAGGCTAAAGGCCAGCGGATCGATCACAAGTGATGTCGGCGCTCGACCCTCCGTTGTCGCCTCCTCCTCCCCACTTCCTTCCATTGCGCCGCCTTCTGTTGTCGCCTCCTCCCGCTTCCTTCATTCCATTCCATTTCGCCGCCATCGCCATCGCCATGCCACGCTTTACTCCATCCATCGCGCCACACGCCCACGGCCACTACGCCCACCATTGCGCCGCCAGACGCGCCACCACCACCACGACGCCCAGAACCATACCGCGACTCTACATCCGACGACAGTGTACCTGTATCCAGCAGGCGAAGGTCATCGCGGCCCTAGGTGCATATTCAAGCGAGTAAGATTGATTAAAGTCCTAATTAAGTTCTAATTTCGGTTTAGACGTTCCTATAATTAGGTTAATTAAGATCTTATCTAAGTATAAGTTCTAACAATTGGTATCTGAGAAGTCGCTTAGCCTAATTCTTGAACCCTAAGATCTAATTAGTTTTTGGTTAAGATCTAAATAGCCTTGGATTTGTCCGATTCAAAGTTCTTTAAGCCAAATTAGAATATAGGGTTTCGCTTAAGCATCGAGAAGGAGGGGAGTCGAATCAACTTCAACACTAAGCCCAGTTTTTGCCCAAATCCGAACCCTAGGAATGCAAATTACCCAAATCCGGTAACAATCCCCAACCCTAAGATAAGTAAGACGCTTTTCACTTACCTTAAGAACTAAGATGGCGCCGTCGGGCTCCTTCACGAGTTCGCCGCTGGCCACAGAAGGAAGCCACGCCGCCGTCCTGCTATGTGCGCGCGTGGTCTCTGCCCCAAAGCGAGCAGATCACCGCTACGGCATCAAGAAGCCATGCCGCCGCCCTATTCTTTGGCGCCCGCTGTGCCCGCACGCGCCCGCACGCACCGGCCGCGCCACGAACGTCGGTGCGCCACGGCCGCACGCCGGCGCACCACCCCCTCCGGCCGCAGGCATAGAAGACGAGGACAGCAGGTCCATACATAGATGTTGCTTATTTTCCTAGTGAAGTTGTTTAATATGTCTGCTATTGTTACTTTGAATATATACATGTGCTTTCATATTTTGTTCCTATTGCATAACGAGTAGTTCAAATTTTGCAATGCGACATAATATTAATTTAAATATTGTTAATTTGAATATTCTAACCCTTTGTTTATCAATTTGTAACAGGATGGCCCCTCCCACGCAGCACCAGTTATACCCCCTTCTTGAGGTGGAGTACGACGGCCCACACCGAGCACACCTCTTGACTGACACCGACGCAGAGGTGCCCTTGCCTCCTTTGAGGCCCCGCACGCACACCAGGGCGCACCAGTGGGACGAGCGTTACGCGCCATACATACGGCGTGCCGGCTTCCTTGAGCTTATCCGTGTTGTCAACTACGGTCTTCCGCCCCTTGACCCAGCACTACTTACTGCAGCTGTAGACAGGTGCGAGTGCCTTCATTGTACGTAAACATTCTTATAACAAATTTGAGGTAATTAACAGTCGTTCTATTCTTATAACAGGTGGAGGCCTGAGACTCACACGTTCCACCAACCTTGCGGCGAGATGACCTTGACCATGCAGGACGTGAAGGCTATCTTTGGCCTTCGGTTGGGGGGACTTCCAGTGACAGATATAGTTGACAACGATCACTGGAGGGAGCTGGTGGCTCAGTTCACTAGCTTTCTTCCACCGGACGACGAGGTTCTAAGAAAAATAAGTGAGCAATTCCAGCCTATTTAATACTTGCATTGCTTTCCTGCAGCCATCGGGTCTCATTTTCTTTGATGAATTTTAGGAAAACTTCTGATGTTTCGTTGTCGTGGATCATAGAGCGCTTTGATTACTTGGACGCACAGGCTGATGAGGCTCGGATCGACAGGTTCGCTAGAGTGTGGCTCTAGCACTTCCTTGGTGCTTTCCTATTCCCAGACGCCTCGGGCAACACCATCAGCTGAATCTTTCTTGACATACTACGCCAGCCATGGGATAACATAGCGGCGTACAGCTGGGGCAGCGTGGTCCTGGCATGGACGTATCGACAGCTATGCGTTGCCTGCCGTCGCACCTCAGGGTATGCAGACCTTGGGGGTTGCTCCTACCTACTCCAGGTTTGGTGTTGGGAACAATGGCCCGTTGGGAGGCCCCTTGTTACTGGTTTCCCTATAAGTACTTCGATTTACTATATTCTTCGAGGCAGTTACATATGATGAAATTATTAATGGCTAATTCATTATCGTGTTCAATGCAGCATTAGAACGGGCAGGATACACTGCCTACAACTCTGTATATCTAGACGCAAGCAGAGTTAGTTAGAGAGAATGCGAGGCGCAAGTACAGGGAGTACACGGACTGTCTTGACATCCTGACATAGCACCAGGTTACGCTCTCTTTACTATCATACATGTGTCTTGTTCGATGTACACTATATCACAACCTAACTCAATTATGAAATGTTCAGGTGCATTGGTGTCCTTGGGATGCTCCGGAGCTCGACGACTATCTGAGTCCTGTCACTAGGGATGAGTCAGATGAGTATCGCTACAACGTCCCTCTTATTTTCTTCCACGTGGTCGAGATTCACTTGCCCATCAGGGTTTGCAGGCAGTTTGAAAGAATGACAGGCTACCTATCACCGCTTTACTCCACCAACCAAGAATTGCACGGGTACATTATCAATTAATAACAAAGCTACAATTCAGAGGTGTATATGGTACAACTAACAATCGTTTTGTTGCAGGTATGACCGTAGGAAGAGGTACAAGACCAAGGATTGGCGCGTGACACACAACACGTACATCTAGTTGTGGCAGACCAGGGATCGATAGCCGGTCGATGCGGGTCCCCCACACGACCAGCACACCTTCGACGAGTACCTACGGTGGCTTCATAGGTCTACGAGGACACATATCAAGCCCCCGTACACTAAGGAGGCGATTGATGAGGAAGATGTGATCGAACATGTGTACGACGTAGCCACTAGGGATGACACACAACTACAGAGAGCCCTGCTTCAAAGATACGTGATAAGATACTCGAATGGTATAATTTGTTATCCATTTGGTATTAAGTATGTGTACTAAAACTGTCCAATCACATTTATGTACCTAGGTGACACAATTATCAAGGCTGTCCAACAAAGCAGCGTTTCGGCTTCACGAGTCTAGAGGGCAGGGGCCAGGCGTTCTCGAGGCTTTTGTGGAGGTAAACATAAACTTGTTCGTTTCGAAAATATTTCTTTAGTGCATATGCGTTTGGGAAATACACTAACTTTAACGTCTATTCATGCAAAAGGTGAAGCAGAGCTGCAGGAAGCTAGCTCAGAAGTTGAGTTGCATGGACACTCCTTGGGTGGAACCCGATTACCCGGCGTAGTTGGGTGCCACGTCTTCTGGCTCTTTGAGGACACCAGCCGAGTCTTCTCAGCCGGTGACAGGTGCCGCTTCCACTGTGCGTACACCACCACATTATAGCGCTGGGAAGGACCCTGCAAACGAGGACGACGAGGACGACGATGACGACGATGACCCCATGGGCTTTCGCATACAGCACCACTAGTGGGACCCTTGGCAGTAGGACGAGATCGGCATGTCTCAGCTAGGTGGTGCCCCGTTTGATACCCAAGGAGCTTCACAAGTAGTGACAAAGGTAATTGCTTTAAATACGTAGGCTCCATGAACTAACGATCATAAAGATTATAAGTAATCGTGCATATTATATACTTGTAGGGTATGAGCAGTACGCACCGGCAACGTGACCACACCGACGTTGGCTACACTCCCAATGTGTTGCCTACAAATCCGAAGAGACAGAGGCGTCCGAGGGATCCTTACACTCCTAGGACTTAGTTGGTTATGTTGAACTTATGTCGAACGAATATTGTCATCCGAAACTTGCAGACTTAGTTGGTTATGTCGAACTTATGTTGAACCAATAAAAATGTTATGTGGCAACTTGTCAACTTGCGCACGGACTCTATTTATTTGCTTTATATTCGTTTCAATGTGTCATGGCAGCACTTGTAGTTGTTTACAGCACCGACAGCAGCTCCCGTTCAATTGCAATTGAGGCTGGTCGGCTTCTATCTGTGTCCAGGTCCTACCGCGCCGTGGGTCTTGGTGCGTCAGTGTCGCGCCGTGGGCTATGGCGCGATAGACCTGCCACATCACCGGTCAGCTACCCGGTCGTCGCCACGTCATCCCCCTCGCCGCGCCACCATGCATGGCGCGGCACAGGCGTTTCGCCGCGCCAGGGAAATAGGCGCGGGCAAAAGTGTTAGTTTTGGAAAAAAAATAAAACAGTGTTAAATTTAAAATTACTTGACAAAAAGTGCTAAAAATAAATAAAAATCTCATGTGCGAATGTGGTGTTAAATCCAACTATGGCCTAGTCCCTTCGGAGCTTGGAATAGGCCATTATTACGGCCATATGGTTGACTATGATGAGGTTGGTTATTTTTGTGGTAAACATGAAATCATATTTTGTTTTTTTTTTGCTAAGACATATATGATATAATTTTTTGTTTGAATAGAGCACTAGGAAATGTAGGTGGAAATGTTATGATGGTAAAGCTAAGTTCTTGGATGAACTGAATGGGAGGCAAGTAATTGCACGGAAGAGGGGATATGGACCTGACTACGTCAACCTATTCGTTAAACATCACAAAGACAAGATGCGTGAGTTTTCTAGACAGCGTGGTATTCGTAACCCGATCGATGTTGGGCTTGACAAATGGGGATTCGAGAGATGAAGGGTGTTAGAGGAGGAGAGAGCAAGCAAGGAGGCAAGGGAGGAGACAAGAGTACAGATGCAAGTCTTGAACGAGCATATTGTTGCATTATGTGCCAGTGAGTGCTTGAAAGCCATTTTTTCATTGCCTGATTTTAAATGTAATATAATCGCGTTGCTAACTCATTGTATTTTATACATGAAGGGATTGGATGCAGCGAGGACCATGACGGAGAGGTGGCTCATGCAAGATATGAGGAAAAGAAGTTAGATGAGCATAGAACGCGAGCTGGTCGCACCATTCAATCACCGATTGTGTTGTCTGATGAGGGGGACGAGGATGAGGATGACACTGCCACACTGAGTGAGCTCATCGCTCTAGCAGATGCGGGCTTGCAGGCAGAGAAGGCTGAGGATGACACTGGCAGACTGAGCGAGTTCATCGCTC